TTTTTTAGTTCTCGGCGGACACAACATCTTTGTTGGTATGTGGAGCTGAGGATCGAACCCGGGCCGCACGCATGCCAGGCGAGCGCGCTACAGCTTGAGCCACATCCCCAGCCCTTCTGTGCAACTCTTAAAGTTCACATTCCCACTGTGTCTAGATTTCTGTGCTTCAAATGTAACATCCTACACCAAAATTCGGTTTTTCCTTTGAATGAATGAATATTTCTCAACTTGATTCAAACCTCTCTACTTCCTCCACCGGCTGTGTCAATCACAGTGCCACATGGATGTGCAGTTCAAGTACCTTCAGCTTAAGAACTGTCCCTCAGTGAGTTATTTCCTTCAAAAGCTCTTGTATGTCCCTTGTCATTGTCACTCCTTGTCAGCATGTCTGAGCTGCATCCTGGAAGCTCCCCAGCCCTCTCTGCCTTCCTCCCTTCATGATTCTCTTGAGGAATGAAATCTGATTTTTACCTTTTCCTTGATCTTCTAACCTTAATCCAGGTTTCAGCAGAGACCCACCTGCCCTTCAAGTCCACCCATTCTTCTAATTGTTAAATCTCTTGTATTATAGGGCCAAATGTCCTGAAATGTTGCACTCGATGAGTTTTCACAGTGGACACACCCAGGTTTCCACCTGGGCCAGAAAAGAGTATCAGCAGCTTCCTGAAACCTCAGCAAGGCCCTCCTGGCCCTCCCACCCCTAGTCCCTTAGATGTCAACAAAATGCTCTCAAAACACTACCTGCTGTCACCCACTTCAGCTTTAACTCTTGATAATGAGTTGCAAAGTCTCACTGGGCTGAGTGATTCCCCAGCCCTCTCTGCCTTCCATTTTCATAATCGTCTTGAGGAATGAAATCTCAAACTTCTCTTCTCCTTCATCTTCTCTATTCCATCCAGGTTTAGCTCAGTCCAGCTGTCCTTCAAGGATACAGACCTGGTTATTTTTCTGTCTCTTCTAAGGAATTGCAACGCACGTCCTGAAATGTTACTGCTCTCTGAATTTTCACTGTGGACACACTCAGGTTCCCCACCTGGATCAGGAAACAGCATCAGCAGCTTCCTGAAGCCCCAGCAGGGCCTTCCCAGCCCCTGTCCCCTTAGATGTCCACCACTGGGCTCTAAACAGTACCTGCTGTCACCTCGCTTAAACCTGAGATCATAGATTTCACAGAGTCCCAAGAGCTGTACCTGAGACTTCTCAGGCTATAAGAGGTTCAGCATCCCCAATCCAAACACCTAAAATCTGAAACATTTTGATCACTCTTATGGCATCATATGATATGGGACATTGCTGAAAAAGGCTTAAGTGCACTGCATATTTTCAAGGCAGAACAGAGGCAGAGTTGTAATCTAGGGTTTAGTTTAGTGGTTTTTCTTTTATTTTATTTTCTTTTGGCAAAAATAATTTTCTGGACCAGTTTTAGGTTCATAGAAGGACTGAATGTCACCTCCCCCCTTCTCTCTGTTCATACAGAAGCACAGCCTCCCTCTTTCGGTATCTCAGCATAGTGAAACACTTCTTGGAACTGAAGAACATAGACTGACATATCATCATTATCCAACCCCATAGTTCATAACAGGGTTCACTCTCAATGATGCTCCTTCTGTGGTTTTGTGTTTATGTGTGTTTTGGGGGGGTATTGGTTATTGTACTCAATAGCATTGTACCTATGCCTAGAGCAGCAACTCTTCCAATTTTGAGGCAGAATCTTGCTAAACTACTGAGGTGAGCCCTGAACTTGCAATCCTCCTGACTCAGGCTTCTGAGTAGCTGGGATTACAGGTCTCAGCACCAGCCAGCCATTCATGGCTTTTGACACATGTGATGGCACGTGTACCCACAGAGTGCCAGAGGAAGGGCAAACTCTGCCCTAAACTCCATATCTGTACCTGTTCCCCCTCTTCTCCCCGTTTTTTTTTTTTTTTTGGTGTGCACAGCTTTATAATGGGTATTATAAATTCTTCAAAATATTCATCCTTTGATCAACACATAATGTCCTGCTGCTTTCTTGTGATCATGGGACTTAATGTCTATTTGTCTGATTCTGCCAAAGCCAATCTGCCCTCCTTAGGCTCTCATGTGCATGAAATCCTACCAACTCCATTATATTCACCTGTGTCCTTGGTGTTTGGTGAAGCTCTCTGGGCAGCACACAGTTGAACTATGGATTTTACAGCTTTTGGAAACTTGGGGTTTGATTGGCCATTTTAATCCTATCAATTTTCAAATAATTCCTGGTAGGAAAGGAGTGACTAGTATCCCTTTGCTCTTTCAGTGTCATTCAGCTCTTCTAGACCGTCAATATCTCCACTGTTGCCTTCTTTTCTAGTTTGGTGAATTTGTCTTTTTCTTTATTTTTTGGATTCTACCCTTTGATTTCCTTTTCATTTCCTATTGTGCATTTTCATGCTAGGTATTTTCTACATAGAATTAATGTTTTTTTCTAGCATACTCATACAAGGATGCAGGTCAGCAGGAAAAACGGTAACCAGCAACTTCAAGTTTAAGCTCCGGAAATTGGAAAATCCCTCTAGAAGATAAAAATGTCAACTTGAGAAAAATTCATGCAGCACATGCCTTCTACAAAAGCACAAGCCCATAACAACCCAAAGATTGTATAGGTAAATTTAAATCTGCACAGGTTTTAGCAGGTGAAGGATATATGGGCAATGCAGGGATTTTTGGCCTTAGGAGAACTGACATTTCATTAGTCTTGGGAGCATGTATTTTAGGTGTTGAGAGACACTGACTTTATTTCACAATTCATCACGTTAGGAATGTGCTTTAACTACATTTATTGAGCTTCTATCACAGGTTGCGCAGGAAACATTTCAGAGCTCAGTTCTGGAGCACTTCCCACGTCTCCGCAATTCTGAAAGGAGAGACAGGTCCACACAGGGCCATGCGTGCTCCACACATGGCAGCTCCCTGTGCTGTGGGTGGCAGTTCACCCTGTGCCCTGCACCAGCCTGTGCTTCATGGAACCTGGAGGAAGGTAAAACCCACAGGGGGCAGAGGAGGCACAGTGGCCTCCTGAGTCCTCAGGGTCCTGCCCAGGGTCAGCTTGGATCCAGGCTTGTGGTCATTTCCACCAGCTGTGTGGAAACTAGCCTTTAATGACTTCCTGGATGCTGAAGTTCACTTTCTGGATTCATCTTGGGAAAACCACATTCTCAGGCAGCGACTGCACTCACTCCACCTGGCAGTCCACCAGGAGATTCCCGGTGCCCCTGGGAGAGGACCCGTTACTCCTGGGCTTCAAAGTGAGGCACAGTAAACAAGGTTCTTGGGGCAACAGAGGACAGGTGAGTGATGTGCCCTGGGAGGAGAGGTCCTGTCATTCTGCCCCTGAAATACAGGGCCAGGCGCAGCCTTTCCAAGACTCCTCACTGAGTCAGGGAGGCCGACTGCCTAAAGCAGGGCCCTGCAGCCCTGGGCCTGGGAGAGAGAGGAGGGGAGCCCGGGACTCTATTCCCCCTGCCCAGTCCACGCCTGGTAAGGACTGCATTTGATGTCTGGCTTCCTCCTGAATGTCCTTCCTCTCATGACAAGCCCATTTTTATTTATAAATTTTCTTATAAAATTTATAGCCTAAGTTTATCATGTAATAGTTTGGAGGTTCATTTTATTTGATGCAACTTAACTGTGTGATTCTTGAATGGTGTTGGATAATAGTTTTATGGTGGAATACAGACCTCAAGTGATTTTAATACTGACCTGTTCCCAACAGACTTCATCATCTCTCATATGATTCATACAATTTAGCCCTTTGTTTTCAGAATTTTGTCCACAGAATTTGATACGTGTATGAAGAAACAAAATATTGACTTTTTCACAGTGATTATAAATTATTGCCTCTGTATTGACAATAAAGCCCTCTACTGTCATAAGGGGCAAAAGCAGAGAGAGAAGTTGTCTGCACTGGTATCTGATATGAGAGGGAAGCTTTCCTCATTTAAACCAAACAGGGTATTGTTGACATTATTGATATTTTTTCACAAAAACAAATCCTTTTTATTTTTATCTGTAAAACTTTTAACTTTATATGTGTGGCATTTAATCCCATGATTTTCTGTGTCTATTGAGGTTGATAATGAGATTTCTCTTTGACTCTACTCCTGGGGGTGGTCACACAGCTGAACTTTCTAATCCTGAACCTCCTTGCACTTATGACAACTCACTTGCTCAGTTGCTGGAATCCTTTTGCACAGTGTGGGATTCCTGTCAGCCATGATTTTGTGCAGATTGCTTTTCATCAGGAAGTGGAAGGACACACTCTTGTCATCAACGTTTCAACTACATTTCCTTCTGTTGTGAAGGCTCTGCTGCCCTCACAGTGTGATTAAGAGAATCCACTTTCCTGTCCCTAGGAAGTGTTTGCAGATGTTTCTGCATCTGGTGGTTGGCATCCTTCGCTGTTGGAGCATTCCTTGGGAATCCTTAGGAAGCCCTTTTCCCCAATATTCCATGTCATGCTGGGGAGCACTGCACTGTGCTGTTGCCTGCGGGTCTGTAATCTACGGTAAGTCGAGTCTCCTAGAATTTTCTCCTGTCTCGTTCCTCTTAATTCACTGACATAGTCCATCCAACATCACCTTTTCACACACACCTGTGGATTCTCAGTGTCTTTCTCACACTGTACACCTGACACTGTGGAGCCTTCACATGGGGCAGAGGGACAGTCTCACAGGAGGGGTTAAATGCAGTAGTCTTTCCAAGGAACTGTGTTTGCCTTTGCTTTTCCTTTCTATTGAGGTTCTTTGATATTTTTCTGCTGCCTTCACAGAAATCCTCTCTCCCTCCTTTTCTAGGGCTCCTTCTGCTGTTCCTGTTCTAATGCCATCATTCTTTCACAGGCTCTCATCCAGTCTTCACATTTACTTCTGGAAGGCACGTCCACAGTGCTTTCCATAATAGAGTTTAAGTCACCAGGTGGTAAGTAAAAGGTGCTTTGTGTTTTGAACATACTGAAGATCAGGGTTTTCCTGTTTGTCTTTTGTGACTCCAGATGAATTGCCATGTCACATGAGCCCTTGCACTTGTGGCCCTCACTTCAGGGCTGGCTGTGGGTGCATTTCCCTGCTGCTTCTCCAGTGCCTGGGGAGAAAGCTGGGATCTCACAGTGACTGTGGGGGTGGTGCTTTTATAGCAGTTAGGTGGAGTGTGAACTGACCTGTGGGTTTGTTGTGTTCTGACCTGGTGTGTTCCGCCCACAGTGATCCACTAAGGATGTGTGTTTACACCATAAATACTGATGCCATGTGTATATGAGGACAGCCATTTAAGGGGTGCATTTCAATGCAGTGGGTTTTGTATACCCAGGGGTTCTGTCCCCTAAAGCACATTTCCCAACATATGGAGGGCGACACCTTTAGGTAAGTCAGTGTGCAGTTTGTGATCATCATTGTTCCCTGGAAGTCCCCCTGTCTCCTTCACTGGGTGGGTCTTACTCAGCTCATGGGCTGGTGCTGCAGGCCAGTTCATCTGCTCTGAATGGGACCCTCCGGGACCTGCTGAGGAGCTCATGCCCAAGACTTGTCCGTGCTCTTGCTTTTCACCCGTGTGCTTTTGTATGTACAGTGTGACTCTATTACACAGCACACACATGGGGTGTGGTATTTTACAGTCTTGCAATCTGCCTTCAGTTTAATCTGTTTCACTCATTTTAATTTTACAGATTTATTTCAACTTTATTGAGGTCTAATTAAAATATTTCCAATAAATATTTAGGTAAGGAATTATTCATGTGCTGTATGCTCTGAAATGCCCCTCTAAATGAACATGGTTGACCAATCAGTATGTGTGTTTGTGTGTTGAGTGTATTTAAGATCACTTTTCAGCCAACCATAAGTACACAGACCTTAATACCATCTTCTCATCAAACATTACCTTGGATACGCTGAACTTGTTCCTCAAGTACATGAAAGTTTATACCTGTCGATAACATGTCCATAGTTTCCTGCTTCAAGCTCCTGGCATCCACCTCTCACTCTTTCCCTTTCTCTAAGTGCAACATGTTCAGGGGTCTCATGCAGGAAAGATCAGAGAATATTCCCTTTTTTGTCTGCTGTCTTAGTAATACAGTATGATCCGGGTTCATCCATCTTGTCATAATAGAGAGCATTTCTTCCTGCTTGTGAAGGAATACTATTTCATTCAGTGTATGTGTGTGTGTGTGTGTGTGTGTGTGCATCATGTATCCATCCATACAGCACAATCATCGCATCCTCGTGTTCACTGGTGGACACGCAGTTGTCTCTATATCTTGGTTTAATAAACATGCTGCAGTGAACGCAGGAGGCAGACACCTTTGAGAGACTGATGTCAATTCCTCTGTGTGTGTGTTGAGGCGGGATTGCCAGGGCACATGGTTCATGGAGTTGCAAAGTTTTGAGCCAACTCCACCCAATTGCCATCAAGGTTGTTCCATTGAACTCCCATCAGCAGTGCCCAGGAGTCTGCTTTGATCCCATCTCAACCGCTGCTTGTTCCTCTTGCTTTTTCATAATGGCCATTTGATGAAGTTACATCTCATGGTGACTTTGACTTTCGTTTCTCTCATGGTCTGTGAGGTAGAGCAACACTTCATTTGCCTTTGGCCACTGAAAGAACTCATTTAGAATAAATGTCTATTCATGTCATGTGTTTTCTTTAGTTCTTGAGTTGCATGATGGATGTGCCCCCAGCATCTGATACAGTATTTGTGAAACCTTCTCTGATTCTGCTTCCTTTTCAATTTATTCTTTTCTTGCCATTCAGTAACTCTTTAGTTTGAAATTGTCCTACTTGTTTATTTTTCTGTCATCCATAGTTTTGTGGTATCTACAAGAAAAAAAATAAGTAAAGGAGTTTTTTGTTAAGATTTTATCCAAGAAATAATATGGAGACAATCTTACCTGTACATCCTTAATTCTATTTAACGGGATGTCTTTGTATGGTGATAGGAAAAGACCCAACATCCTTTTTTGCACATGAAGATCCAGAGTTCCCTTCGTGGACAATTGCAGAGCCATCATTTCACCATTGCAAATTTTCGATGCCCTGTTAAAGGTTAGGTCACT